TGTGGAGGGTCAAAGAAAGGTTTATATATGGAGGGAAATTTTCTTTGTTGGTTGCCAGGGGTGGGAGGGGAGGGGAGGGAATACTGCAAAAAAAAAAAAAAATGTATTGACCCATGTCTCTTTAATTTTGTGTATTTCACAGTACATAAATTATATTTCAATAAAATGCATTTAAAGAAAAATGCCTGCCTCTGCCACCCTCTGACAGAACACCCCTCCAAGCTTCCCACAGATGCCCCCGAGAGAGGGAGACAGGAGTGGACCAGCCCAGGGGTGGCCCCAGGGCTGCTAGATGCTGGAGCCAGGCCAGGAGCGTGTCTTTCAATCTGGGAAGTAGGGGCCCTGTCCCAGGCAGGAGGGTGGCCCGGTGACCCGCCTGTGCCACATCTGACCCCTGCTTGGCACAGCACATCAGTGGAGGTGCTGAAGAGCCTCCTGTCCACCACGGGGCACTGGGACGACTTCGCCCACCTGGAGCTGCAGGGCGCCTGGGAGCTCTTCGCCACCACCCCCACCTACCCACAGGGCGTGAGTCTCCTCGCCAGGTATGAGCGGGGCAGGGGGCCCCATCTGGACCCCCTCCTCCCCTCCTGTGGGTTCCCTAGAGGCTGAGTGTCTGGGTGGTAGAGACGTGGCCCAGGACCTTCTGCCAGCCCGGTGTGGGCCCCCAGGACCTGTCTGAGAGGGTGCAGACACACCCCTCGCCAAGCTTGTAGGAGCTGGCAGTGTCCCCCAGCCCTGAGCCCCTCCCTGGCCTGAGCCCCCTCTCAGTCTCCTCCAGTCCAGGCCTGGCTTCCAGGTGGCCAGCAGGGATGTAAATGGGAGTGCTGACACGCTCCAGCATGGGTACAGAGAGGTGTGCACACTTCTCCCAGGAGAGTGTCCAGACACTGCACACACACAAATGCATGCATACATGCACTCAAATGCACATGCACACACACATGCACACATGCGCACACAGATGCATGCACAGACAAATGCACACATGTGAATACATGCACACACCTGCATACATGTGTATGTGCAAAGTACACGTGCGCACATGTGTACATGTGTGGATACATGTGTGTATGCACACATGTGCACACACAAGTGCACGTTCATGCACATAGACACATGCATGCACACAGGTACACATGCACACACACACGTACACGTACCACACACAGCTGGGGCAGAATCAGGGCTGTGCCTACAGCCCAGGTGTCCCCCTTGCTCTCCTCCCACCCAGAGCCATGGTGCAGAACCTCTGCCCAAAAATCAAAGCCGTGCTCCGGCAGCTGCTGCCCAGCCTGCAGAATGGAGAGGAGCGTGAGAGGAAGGTGGCCATCCTCATCCTCACTGAGGTAAGGGCGCAAGGGGGTCCCCAGGAGACAGCCTGAGACCCAGCCTCCAGCCTCTCTCAGCTGGACAAAACACCATCGGGACCCACCCAACTTCGCCCCTGACTTGGGGAGGCCTAGCCACACGGGTAGCCCTCACACCCTCCTCCCTGCTCCCAGCTCCCAGTGGGGCTCCTGGCTGGACCCCCCACCACACTCCAATGCCCTGGCCTCCAGGCAGAGCCCAGGGGCCTGAGGATAGCTTCAGGCAGATCTGAGCTCAAACTTCAGCCCCGCCCTCAAAACAGCCTCCACTACCCCCTTCACCTCAGTCCGTGCCCCAGGACTGAGAAGCTGAAAGAGCACCCTCTAGAATCAAGTGATGGGTGGGCCCAGTGAACCCCGAGCTCTGTGCAGGGATGGTGGGCGAGGGGCCATTCCCATGACAAGTCGGTGGAAGGAAACCACTCCCACCCACCAGCCAAAATGTCTGGGCCCCCCCCATGGGGGCTCCGACCCCAACAGTCCTTGAGCCAATTGTTGGCCAAGTGGGCTTTGCTGTGTGACCTCCGGCTGGTTTCCCCCATTTGTACACTGAAGGATGGAACCAGCTTGGAAATGGGTTTCAAATATTCATTAGCCAAGACCCCCAGAGAAGGATGCCATCGGCTCTCTGAACCCCCCACCCCAGGCCCTGGAGGTAGAGCCCCGCCCCCAGGCTTCCCAGGACAGGGTGCTCGGCCTGACCACCAGCCTGGGCGCCCCAGTTCCTCTACAGCCCCACCCTGCTGGAGGTGCTCCCCAAGCAGTCCGCCCTGATCATGCTCAGCAGAGGCCTGCAAGACCCCAGCCCCGAGGTCCGCGTGTGCAGCCTGCGCGGCCTGGGCAACATCGTCTTCCACCCGGAGAAGGTGAGGGTGGAGGCGGCAGGGTGAGCCACACGGCCTCCAGCTGCCCACCCACAGGGTCAGGGGCAGAGGCTGTGCCCCTCAGGGCCTGCACTGGGTGGGCTCTGAGGGGATGGAGTAGAGCAGGCCTCAGGAGGGGGCCTGGGTCCCTGCCCACCCCCAGTGGACTGTGGGCCCCAGAAGACAGGCCACTCAATCACCAGCCACCAGCCAGGGAGGCCGGCGGCGTGGGGCGGGTTGACCAGGCAGGCGTGCAGAAGGGCTCAGTGCCACGGCCCAGAGCTGAGAGCAGGACCCTCTGCCAGACCCAGGACGGGTCCAAAGGAGCTCATCAAAGTGTCCGCGCCCACTGTTCAGCCATCTTTATGGTCAAACACAAATGGCGCTACTGTGCAAAGATGTCTGTGTTCAGGGGCCAAGGAAGGGCTACATGAGGAAGGATCAAAGTGCCCAGGGCTTAAACAGGAAAGAGGAGTCCCTAGTGACCAAATGCGCCCAGCTACTGACTGAAAGGTTGGAGGTTCACGCCCAGAGGTGCCCTGGAATAAAGGCCTGGCTGTCTCCTTCTGAAGAATCCGCCATTGGCCATCCCGTGGAGCCCAGTGCTCCTCTGCCTCACGGGCTCCCCGAGTCTGAATCAACTCCACAGCAGCTGCCTCGGTCTGGTTTGGTTTTTCTGGCCAATTGCTCTCCAGCTGAGTTCCAGTCCTGCCTCTGGGCTGCAGCCTGGCTCTCAGTCTGCTTGGATTTGAGTCTGCGTCTCACATTCACCACGTCCAAACACAACTCCCCATCGTCCCACTAACCCACTGTCCCTGCAGACTCCCCATCTCGGCTGCTGGAGCTCCGCCCGTCCAGTTGTTCTCGATTCCTTTCTCCATCTATTTGTCGATCACCAAGCACCACGGTCCACCTAGAACCCAGCCACTTCCCCCACCTCCCCTGCCCAAGCCAACACCTCCCCCAGGTCACCGCAGCACACAGGGTCAGCCTTGTCCCTCTTCAGATTACCCTTGGCCTGATGCTGGAGGGTGTCCCTGATGCCAGGGTGAGAGCATGGCTCCACTTGCTCAGAGTCAAAGCCACAGTCCCTCTAAGGTTCTGTCTGGTCCTCCTCACAGGATCTCTGACCTCTCCCCAGTCCCCTCGCCCACACTGCTCAGCCACAGTGACCTCCTGCCTCTCACACGGTCCAGTAGGCCCCACCTCAGAGCCTTTATCTGCTCCCTCTGCTGGGAAGCTCATCCCACACCTCCTCCCATGCCTGCTCAGGGTCACCTCCTGGCTGAGACCTTCCTTGATCCGACCTGAACTGAAAAGGCTAAACACACCACGCCCACCCTGCTCCACCACTCCCTGCTTTGTTTTCCTCATGCCACGGTCACCCACATCACCCACGGTCACCCTCAGACACCGTCATTATGCACACCCTGTTTCTTTATTCTCTACCCACTGTACTCCCCACCAAAACCCCAGGCTTGGCAGTCTGCCTGCACCCAGTAAGTGCTCCATAAGTATCTGTTGCTGTTGAAGGATTCACTCACTGGACATGAATGTTGTTGTTGTTGTTATGTGCCATCAAGTCGGACCCAACTCATAGCGACCCCTCCTTGGGTTTCCGAGGCAGTATCACTATGGAAGTAGATTGCTCCATCTTCCTTCTGAGGAGTGGCTGGTGGGTTTGAACCACCAGCTTCTGGTTAGCAGTCAAGTGGCTTAGGCACTAAGCTACCAGATATAAGACCTTAAACCCAAACAGAGTTCAGAGAGCAGACTTGCCTGAACCTTGATCAGCTGGAACCACTGCTCTGGTTTGCAGACGTGGCTGAACAGTGGCCTGGAATCAGTGCTTGGGGGCTCCTTGCTCCCCCGCTGCCCGTCTAGGGATTTCGGGGGCACCCCACCAGCCACTCAGAGGGAAAGTTGGGCGATCTACTTCCATAGTGATACCACCTCGGAAACCCAAGGAGGGGTCGCTATGAGTTGGGTCTGACTTGACAGCACATAACAACAACAACAAGACCATTGGGGCAGGTGTACTTGGCTGGAAATGGATTCCCATGTTTAAAAAGAAATGTCAGGATTGACCATAATAGTCACTGAGGACATAAAAGTCTGACACCACCAGAAGCACCACCACGGAAAACAGTGACTTTAACAGGAACACAGCCCGCCGGTCTCTGTCCAATCGCAGCTGCCATCTGACCCACAGGGAGCCCCCCACACACACCCCTGTGGGTGAGGCCAGATGGGGGTGGAAGAGCTGTCCCCAGGGCTTGGTGAGGGGCTACCCGGGATGCATAAGGCTCAGAGAGGGGACCGCCTTGTCCAGCTACGCAGCTCCTGGTGGGCAGAGCAGGCGTGCGCCGGCTCTGGATCTCACCGCCCTGGTTTGGGGCAAGGCCGGTACCGTTCCCGCAGCTGGCAGAGCGCTGCGTCCCCTGCAGCGCCATGGGGGATAAGGCAGGGATGGGGCAGGGGGATGGGGCGCCCAGGGCAGGATGGGGTTCGTCAAAGGGGCGTCTGGAGGGGGTCTCCCCAGAAGAGCTGGGGTGTGGACGGCGAGGCCGGTCCCGGCGCCCTCAGCCCCCCACCCGCCCCTAGGGGACCCTGCTCCGTGGGCAGCTGCCACTCTTCCTGTCCGGCTTCTTCTGTGACAATGAGCCAGTGGTGGTGAGCCTCATGGGAACGGTGTCGGACGTGCTGCACCGCCTGGGCGCGCTCGGCGCGGGCGCCCAGAGCCTCCGCGTCGCCATCCACGCCCGCTCCTTCTTCGACGACGTGAGCGCTCCTGGAAGGGACGGGGGTGCCCCTAACGCGTGCCTTCCTCCGTGCCCCCTTCTGGAAGGCAGGGAGGACCTCCAGCCACCCTCAAATCCCCGGCGGGAACTCCGCCCTGGGGGCGGGGTCTGCGCAGGTGCACAGGCCCCCGAATGGCCAGGTGTGTACCCAGTGGCGCTGCGGGCCTTGTAGGTACCATCCTCGCCGGCCAGGGTCAGGTTTCTCAGCTGTGACAGTCCCCTCCTGTTCAGAATGGCTTTGTTTCTTCACTGTGGAGCCAGGGGGACGAATCTCTCCCCCAGCTTTGTTCCTGACGCCTGTGCGGTCAGGAGGAATCGTGGGCATGGAGACGCAACGCCTCTGCGTCCCGGAGGGCAGCCGGGGACCCGCCCCCGGAGTGCTGTCCGAGGGGGGAGGTGTGACGGGCCCCCAGAGCGCAGAGCCCGGGGGGCAGAGTCCTGCTGCGGAAGCCGAGCCCCACCTCCAATGAGGTGCGGGTCCCGTGTTGGACAAGCGCTGGGACTTCCAGGCGGATGTGGACGCGCTCCGGGCCACGCTTTGCAGGAGCGCGATGGGATCCGGGTGGCAGCCATAGCATTGTTCGGGGACCTGGTGGCAGCGATGGACGGCAGGGAGCTCGGTGTCCTGCGAATCCAGGTGTATCAGAGCATGGTGCCCCTGCTGCTGCACCTGAAAGACCACTGCCCGGCTGTGGCCACGGTCAGTGCCACTGCAGGCAAGGCGGGCCAGAGGCCTTTGCCCTGGTGGGGCTGGGGGCCGCATGGGGCCTGCAGGAGCTTGGAGATCAGCCAAACAGGTGGCAGACTGTTCAAAGGCGAAGGGGTGCTCCAGGGGGCAGCAGGGGGATGGGCAGTGGGCCTGGCTGTCCCCACCCGCTTCCTACTGTGGTCTGTCTGCCATGCTCACCATACACACATGCACGCGCACGCGCGCGCGCGCACACACACACACACGAGCTGCGCCGTCTGTGAGGGCAGGACTCGGTCAACTCTGTTCTCAACTATCTCGGGCGCCCTGCACGTGGCAGGTGTTGGGTCCTTGGGGAATCTGATCACGTGTGGTTTGCCCCCGCTGTGAGCCAGCACCTGTGCCCAGTGCCAAGGACCAAATCAATAGGACAGACGAGGCTTCCCAGGCTCCAGCCGGGGGCCACGACAAAGCAGTCAGTTCTGAGCGGCCCTGGAGCTGTGCTCAGGCCACGGGGGCGGGGGGTGTCCACACCCGGTACTGCAGCCAGGGTGGTCTAGCCGGGACAGGTGACTCTGAGCAGAAGGGGGCGGCGAGGGGAAGGCACCCCAGGCGGAAAGCAGCGGAGAACAGGCCCGAGGTGGAAGGAGGGAGGCGCAGGTGGCCGCTCCAGGCGCCCTCAGTGCCAACGTCCCTCACACTGGGTCCCGGGGGAACGGTGGCAACGCCCTCCGATTCAGCTGGGCAGCACGTGACCCCTGGAGTGGCTGTCCCCACAGCAGGCCAAGTTCACCTTCTACCGCTGCGCCGTCCTCCTGCGCTGGCGGCTTCGGCACACACTCTTCTGCACGCTGGCCTGGGAGCAGGGCCTCAGCGCCCGCCACTTCCTCTGGAGCTGCCTGGTGAGGCCCGGGGCGGGGCCAGGGGTAGGGTCCCCACTGCCCGGTGAGGCCGGGGGTGGGGGGCAGCTGAGGGTCCCCACTGGTGCCTTATCCGCCTACACACACACACACACACACACACACACACGGCTACTGCGGCAGCCCCGAGGGCAGGGGGTGGGGTGGGAGCCCTCCCTGGCCCCGTGAGTGACAGGCGTGCCCCCTCTGGCCAGATGACCCACAGCCAGGAAGAGTTCAGTATCCACTTGGTGCAGGCCCTCAGCTACTTGCACAGCGGCCACCCCCCCATCAGGACCTGGGCGGCACTCTTCATAGGTGGGCAGACAGTGGGCACAGCCCAGAGACCCCCATGGTGTCCCCCGCACCCACCCTGAGGCCAGGTGCAAACCACACGTGATTTGCCCTGACCCCCACCCACCCTAGTCCACCAGCCCTAGCACCTTCAACATCACTGAGGGGTGAAGAGGGTCTCAAGGCTGAGGAGGGGAAATGGGTGGGTCTGAGCCCCCCATAGAAGATGGGGACCCCCCACCCACCCAAGGCTCTACCTCTCCCTCCGTGTCCTGCAGGTTACACCATCTGCTATCACCCCCAGGCCGTGTCCCAGATAGTGACTGCTGTTGACACCAACCTGCTGTTCTGCAGTAAGCAGCTCCCCACCCCGCCCCCCAGCCCAGGCCGGGTCCTCCCACCCCAGCTCCAGGGCTCTCTTACTGAGCCTTTCAGCTGAGCCCCCGTTTCCCAGATGGAGAGACTGAGGGCTCTGAAGGGTAGGGCTCTTCTCTCCCACCTCCCAGTATCAAAATCCAGACAAAGACCCAGCCTCCTGAGCAGCCCAGCCCCCATGTCTGGAGGGTAAGGGTGACGTTGCCCCTCCCTAAGCCTCAGGGGTGATGGGGGAAGCAGGGCTGGCACCCACTCTGCATGCTGAGAAAGCAGTGAAGTCTGTGGGTGGGCATGAGGGGCTCTGGTGGCAATGGCTAAAGCATTTGGCTGCTAACCAGAAGGTCAGTGATTCAAAGCCACCAGCCGCTCCACAGGAGGAAGATGAGGCCGTCTACCTCCATAAACGTTTACAGCCTTGGAGACCCAACGGGGGTTGCTATGAGTTAAAATGAACCTCATGGCGGTGGGCTTGGTTTCTGGTTTTTTGGTGGATGGGCTTCACCGACTGACAGGGAGTGGGGGTACATGGTAAGGGGGAAGGGAAGCACTCAGACGGGGCGTGGGAGGGGCAGGGTCTGGGTGCCCCCCACCCCGCTGGCCTCCAGCTGGAAAGTCCTGGCTCTGTGTGGGGCGGGGGCATCCCAGGGCAGCTCAGCTCTCCTGACTCGCCCCTCTTTCCCCGAGCTTTTGAAGATCTCAAAAAAGACCCTGAGCCCGGCATCCGGGAGTTTGCCACCAGGCAGTTCTCCTTCCTCCAGAAGATGGTGGGCAGACCGGAGCCCTGACCAGCACCCGGCCGCCCGCAGCCCTGCCCCTCCCACAGAGCCCAGCTGCACAGCGCTTTCCCGTAAGAAAGGGCTAGATCCCACAAAGGCGTCCCACCTGTGGGCCCTGCCCACCACCCCACGGCTGGCTGTGCAGTGACCAAGCCATGTCCCTAGGAACATTGGGCAGGACTGGGAACAGGGCCCAAGCCTGCAGGGCAGTGGGGGAGGGGATGGCAGGCCAGGACCCCAGAGACAAACCTTGAAGTACATGTGGGGGCCTGTGAATGGCAGCCCCTGTGTTCCCCGGGAACGGGTCTGCTCACCAAAGCCTGGGCCCTGTGAGCCCTGAGCAACCCTCAGGATTGCGTGGCTGAGCAAAGCCGTGGGCCGGGACACCCCTACACCCTTCAGTTTGTCTCCGTGGCTGAGGCTGACTGTGCCCCTTGGCTGCCTCCCTCAGGCCACGGGGCCCCTCTGTGTCCCTCTTCCCACCTCTGTCCCACTTCCCCTCAGGGCCAGGGTGGAGGCGGCCACAGAACCAGCCTGGTCCCAAGTCACGTTTCCCAGTGGAGCCCACTGCAAGGCCCAAGGATCTCAGCTCTGAACCTCAGCTGTTACATCTGTAAAACGGGGTTGTGAGGTCTTCCTCCTGAGACCCCTTGGAAGTCTGAGTCCAGACAAGGACCCTTCCTGGCAGGGTTTCGTGCTCCCAGAGACCCCTCACACACGGACTGTGACCTCCAGCCAGGCCCCTCCCCTTCTCAGCCACGGCTTTCCCACTCGTGAAATGGGCAGGTGGAAGTGCCTGCCGGAGTTCTCTCTGGGGCCTCACCCCAGCCAGACACGGCCTCTGCTCCTTGTCACAACGGTGATGCTGCTGCAAACCTGCCCCCTCCTTGTGCCCACCCTGCCCCTCGGCCATGCCTCCACCCAGGCCGGTCCCTCCTCCCAGAACACCATCCCCACCCTCACCCCCAGGGTGCATGGCCCTGCAGGAGGGAGCCCCACCCCCAGGCTGCCTGGGCCTGGGCCCCGCCCCTCCGACTGTGAGCCTCTCGGGGCAGGGCACAGAGCCCCCAAATGTGATGACATGAGGAATACAGCAGTCACCACCACGCGTGTCTGATTCTCTTGGGTTCAAGTCCGTTCGTTCGTGGGGCACAGGACAAAACCACCATGAGAGCGGGCTCTGGAGGCCACGCCCCAGGCTGGTCACCCTGTCAGTTCATGTCCACTCTGCTGTTTGTCCGTCTGTCAGGAGGAGCTGCTTGGGCAGGCCTTGGGAGCAGTTTTGACTTCTCTGAGCCCCCATCTTGCCCAGGAGGTCCCCCCAATGCAGCCTGGTGGGTGTGGGGGCCATGGGAGTCAGTCCCTCTAACGATGGCCTTTGCTGGGGTCACCGCTGGGACCCAGCTGCCCTCTGGCCCCCTCCTGGCAGTGGACGGCACCTCCTCTCTGGTTTATCTGCCCTTCCGGAAATCTCCTTAGTGAAAGCTTGGAGCTAGCAGGCCAGACTCAAGATTGCCGGAGCTGACGCTCAAAGTCTGGGCAGTGTGGGGAGGGGGCGGCTCCCACCAGCCTGGCCCGCGGGGGGCCCAGCAAGCCTGTGGAGCTGTGGTGGGATGCCAGGTGCGGGAGGGGGCCAGCGTCCCTGTCACCACCCTCTCAGGGCCGCCTCCAGTCTGCCCAGGCCCCGGGGACGGGCAGAGGGGCACAAGGTCGTCCTCCTGGGCCCGTTTCCTCACCTGGGGAAGGGGAGGTGAACATCTCCTGGGGTGTAGGCCCTCTCCATACCCAGCATCCCTGGGGACTCGGTGTCCCAGGAGGAGGAAGGGTGGGACCAGCGGGCAGGAGAGAAGGAACCATAGGCCTGCCCCTTCCTGGGGAACCAAAGTTCCCCCAATAAAAGGCCTGGGGGAAGGTGCCAGGGGAGGCGGCCAGGCCCTTGCCAGAAGAGGGTCAGGCATGGCCAGCAGTGGCAGGTGGGGGGCAGAAGGGGCCCTGGGGCAGAGACCAGCCCAGCCTCTCAGCACAGCCAGCCAGACTGCCACCCCTCCCGTCTCTGTCCAGCCCTCCCCTGCACCCTGGAAGTCCACCCTCCACAGCTGAAATGAAGACACCAGGGCAGAGGCAGAACCGAGCAGCCACAGCAGGGTGACTCTGGTGATCAGGCCCTACCTGCCCCAGAGCGCCCCAAAACACAGAAGGGGCCCCTGTCAGCCCCAAGTGTCCCATGGACAGCTCGGTCCAAAGGCAGACTCCCCACGCCCCACGTGTCAAGGACCCAAAACCAGCTTGGATTCCATTCAAAGGGAGGTGCAGGGCCAGGGATTGCCACCAGGGGGCGCCGTGGGACCACACGAGAACCAGTGCCGCTAAAAGGAGCCGCCCACCGGCCATCCCCGCGCAGCCCGCCAGGACCCACCGCTCCTGCACACACAGCCACAGCGTCCTGTTTTATTACCCTTGAGTGTCCCGAACAGCCACTGCCCCGCGAACCAAATAATTTAAGGTGCCAAGAACAGGCCAGGGTCAGGGGCCGGAAGCTAGCCCAGTGGTTAAAAACTACACCCCCATAAGCAAGCCTGAGAGGGAGCCGCCCACCAAGAAGGGGCTGCAGAGGGTGCCGTAGGAAGCGTTCGGAGCCGAGGTCCAGGGACACGGAAAAGCTTAGGGGCACGGCGGGGGACAGAGACAGACAGGTGTGGGCACAGGCAGAGATGGGAGACAGACAGACACAGGGAAGAGAGGGACACGGGCAGACAGACTCAGGGCAGAGACAGACAGCGGACAGAGACGGACACAGGGTACAGACCCACATGGGCAGAGGCAGGCAATGGAAAAACAGGGTTGAGAACATGGCCAGCACAGGCCAGCCAGACATGGGGAGCCCAAGGCAGACCCACACACAGAGCAGGGCTAGGGGCACACGGGCCGCCGGCGTGAGGGGCGAAACAGCTCATGGGGCTGGTGGGCGGGAGCCTCCTGCAGGCAGCCGTGCCCTCCGCAGCCGGCTGCAGCTACATGACACAGCACTTGGTCTTGTGCGTGTCCGGGGCTCGGAACCGCAGTCTCCGTTTGGGCCGGTACTTCTCCAGGTAGGTGAGCTGTTTGCTGTTGATGGCACCACGCCGCTTCCTGGGGAGAGGATGGTGGGGATCAGTGGGGATCAGCAGAGACGCAGGGCAGGACCCTGGGTGGTGAGAGCAGACGGCCAGGAGGCTGGCACCTTCCTTGGGGCCGGCTGAGCCCTTCCTACCTCCACTGGCCCGTTGCTCAGCCCCGTGCCACCTCCTCCAGGCTGACTTCCCGGACCCCACTCCATGGTCTAGTCCCCCACTCACACAGCCCCACCCTCACCCCACCCCCAGGCCATGAGCCCCTTGGGGCAACATGGATGGAGCAGGCCTTTTCCACAGGGGGGGGGGACTGAGCACCAGGAGGCCAAGGGCCTTGGGGTCATCCAGGGAAGTGGCTGCTGCCACCTCCCCCAGGACCACTGCCCACCTGAGCACACTTCATGCCCATCCCCCGAGCCCAGGAGTTCTGGTGGCACAGTGGGTCAGGCATTCGGCTGCTAACCAGACGGTCAGCGGTTCAAAGCCACCAGCTGCTCCTCGGGAGGAACATGAGGCAATCTATTTCCATGGAGATTTACAGCCTTGGAAACCCAACGGGGGTCGCTACTAGTTGGAATCGACTCAATGGCAGTGGGTTTGGTTTTTTGGTTTTGGTTCCCCCAAGCCAGCTCCTGCCCACCTCCGCTCAAGCCCCTGCTCCCCTGAGATCTGCCCCCATGGCCCACCAGGACCCCACTCTCCAGGCCCCAACACCTAGCTCAGACCCCTTCGGACTTGTACAGCAGCTGGTCCGCTGCCCTGAGGTACAGGCCTGCTGGCGCGGTTAGCCTCTTACCAGCCGCCCTGCAGGCCCTCCCCACCTCCCAGTCCCCGCCTCTCCCAGGGGCTGGTTAACTTGCTGTCCGTCACTTGTTCCCTCCGCTCTGTTCTTGTCACAGGTCTGGTGTCAGCCCTGAGACCAGCTCAGGGACAGCAAGGCCCAGCTGTCTGTTCATGGCTGACGTCGTCAAACGTATCTGATGGGCATCTGATGGGGCAGCAGCAGACACCCCCGGCACAGGCGGGGGGGGCCAGGGGGGGGCAGACCTGGGGGCACTGTACGTGACCACCTGCTGCCACCTCAGGCGGGCCGCTGAAGTGTGAGCACACGCTTCCACAGCCCTGGCTCTGGGTCCCCTTCCTCCAGCCAGCGATGCTGGGGTGGGGGGCAGGGCCACTGAGCAGACCCCAGACCACATCGGAGAGAACACGAGCGGGAAACAAACCTGCCTCAGTGGCTGGGGTCAGACCTGCCTGTTCCTGTGTCGGCCCCAGCCCGTGCCGACCGACAGCATCAGATGAGGGACCATACTGGCTAAAACTGTGCATGTGGACAAGGCTGGCACGAGAGGTGGGTGAAGAGAGGGTAGGGCTGACGAGTGGGGGGCGGTGATATGTGTGAGAGTGTGTGTGTGTGATGTACGTATGTGATGCACGTGTAAGTGTGTGAGCGTGGTGTGTGGTGTGCATGAAAGTGTGTAAGTGGTGTGGTTGTGAGTGTGTGTGCTGTGTGAGCATCAGTGTGTGGTGTGTGAACGGTGTGTGTGGAAGAGCGTGTGCACGTCCGTGTACATGTGAGCCATGCCAGCAGCCCTGAGGAGACGAGCCCACAGACACACGCACTCCTGCACACTCCTGGGAGCCCAGGATGGCCGCGTGGCTGGGGAGAAACACCAGGTGGCCCGGGAGATGGTTGGAGCAGCACCGGGCACAGAGGGCACATCTCTCACTCACACACATGCACATGCAGTGAGGTGGGCCTGCATCAAGCCCAACCCAAGGCTGGGAAGGGGGCCGCCAGCCTCTCCCCGACCGTGGCTGAACGGGACAATACACTGAGTCAAACCCTCACTCTGGCGCCAGGACAGCGAGGCCCAGGAATAAGGCAGCATGGAGGCCACCAGGCGAGCCGACAGGAAGGCCTTTGTGTCCACTGCCCCCCGGGGACCAGGCCCCACACGGCGCCCCTCGCCCTGCCGAGGTGTGTCAGCATCAAATCCAGCCTCCGTGTGACTGAGGAGGACACACCAGTGGACATGCCCCAAGGCCGGTGGTCAGGCATGCTTGCTGACACGGCACCGGGGCCCACAGGGCAGGGTGCACAGGGCCGGGGCTCCCGAAACTCAGACCCCAACCACTCACGGGTCCGCCCCTCCCACCCCTCCAGCCACTCACTGTCGGATGAACTGGACAGCGTCCTCGGACTTCATCCCACTCTCAATCAGGGCCAGTGCCACGAGAACCGGGGCCCTGGGGAAGGCAGGAGGACCGGGTTAGGGGGCCCGGGCCTCCACCCCCATCCCACCCAACGGGCCACCTCATGAAGGTGCCCTGAGCCCAAGGGTGCCACTTGCTCCACCCACTGACCCATTGCCCCCCATGGAGAGCATGGGCTCAGAGACGGCTGCGTGTAATCTCAGGTCCGGATCTGGCTCTGTCACCTCCCCGCTGTGCCACCCTCAAAGGCCCAGCGACCTCTCTGTGCTCCCTGGTGGTGCCCCATGTGGATGGGAGCATTACACAGAGGAGCACAGGTGAGGCAGGGCTGGGCCCTCCCCGAGCAGAGCCGGCCACGCTGCCTACAGAGCCCTCCAGGGCTCATTTCCCTTCTCTGCTAACAGGCTTCTACTGCGGGCACGGAGACCAAGCCCCGCTAACCTGCCCCTTCCAAGGGAGGGAGGGCTTTGTGTCTGGGGAGGAGCAGAGCCCCAGTTTCAACCACAGCAGGAGCGATTTGGGTCCGATATGGGGAAGAAGTGCCCCCTGCAAGGCTGTGAGAACACTGTCTGGGACCCTCAAGCCCTCTGGGAAGCGGGTGGTGGATGCTGTCAGGCAGGCCCCACAACCCAGGGAACGTCAGGGCAAAGCGGCCGGCCCCCACGTACCGTCCCAGGCCAGCCACACAGTGCACGGCCACACAGCTGCCAGGGTCATCACAAAACTTGGCCTTGAGTAGGCTCAGCCAGTCCTCCACCACCTTCCCGGGCGGGGGCGCCCCATCGTCAAACGGCCAGTCCTGGGGAGGGAAGCAGTCTGCTGAGGTGTGGAGGAGGGGCCCGGGTCCGGCTGGCCTGCCCCAGCCAAGGTGCGCTGGCAGCTGCGAGGGTGGGAGGTGGCAGGCTGGCCGGCTGAGGAGTTGGCCAGGCATGGCGTGGGGAGTGGAGGCGTGGGGGCTCGCCATGAGTCTCCCCACTGAGAGTACCTCTCAGCAAGCGTCCTCCCCCTCTCCTCCTCACTGGCACACTCACCTCCTCCAGGAAGCCTTCCCCGACACCCCTGCCCCTTTCTAGGACCCCCTTGGATGCCCGCTGTGGTTCAGTGGTCTCCTGCTCCCGCCCGTGTGCCTACTACAGCCTGACCCCCACCCACCTGAGAGGTCCTGAGGCTTGTCCCTGCTGTCACCTGGTTACCGGCCCCAAACCAGCCTGAGAAGGTGCCTCTGCCTGTCCCAGCGCCCAGCCAAGAGCAGGCTCAGCCCAGTTACCCCGAAGGAAAGAAGGCAGGGGAGGGGGGGAGCCAGTACCCGTGCTGGGTTCCAAAGCCGCAGCAGCACTTGGGGCCTTTCGGGAGGGGGCCTGGGGGTTCATCTGGTTTTGAAAAAGCAGCTGTGTCCCACCGAACCTCAGTGTAGTATTAAGACCATGGCTCCCAGGGAGGACAGAGCCACGGAGGTCCTGGCCAAGCAGTACACGTGGGTGAGGGGGACCGCTCCAGAACCCGAGCTGTGGCACCAGTGGGTGCATACAAAGAGG